CCAGGACTTTTTGTGAGTAGTAGGGCAAACTATCCTGGCAGGGGATAGATGAGAAGTGGTAAATCTATATGCCTCCTTTGTATGCACTCGTGTTCAGGTTTGCAGCAGTGAAAGGATGGAAGATGGAATGAGACCCTCTGCCGAAAACCACGAACTGCGTTTGACATCTCTTGAGGCTGCTAAGGCAATGCCATCACATTAGCCATATGGCGGATGTAGAGCAGTGGATGGGCCACGGGGAAATCTGCAGCCTGTGCAACTTCAGTGAGTTATTTAAGTAATGCTGTTATACTGGGGAGCTACTTCATGCTACATGCTACACTTGCCCCTTGTGCTCACCACTTAGCAGCACTGCTGGGGCTCACTGCTGCAGAAACCTGCGAAGGAGAGCTGACCTTTGGGCAGAGTTGCATTTCTGTACTGGGCAGATAGGTCCCGTGCTTGTAAAGGGTGTTACGTGATGACTTTGCCTCTGTTAGCTAAGGCCAGGCATCTCTCCCAAACCTCTGATCCTGTGCATTTGTCAAACCCAATAGTCCCGTGGATAGGCCAACTATATTCTCATTGTGTGGGGCCCAAATATATCCTCTTTCTCGGGGCTTTTGAAGAGAACAATTTAAAAATAGCTTAGGCCTGAGCTTTTTTTCCTTGGCATGATTGCTCCTAAGGGATCTTCCCTGCCTGAAATCTGCTCTATCCCAGTTTTCCCCCCAGAACCGAGTTTATGAACTCTCAGTTTCTCAGAGGCCAGTAGCACTCGCTTTAATGGTGAAGCAGCAAAGAGAATCCTGTGCCCCTTTTTTAATGCCCGGGCCCCCTTTTAATACGCATCATAATAAACTAGAAGCTATCCATTCCTCCCAGTCTAAGCAGGCAGTCTGCTGCTTTACTGTAAATTGATAAAAGAAGTAAATGTGAGAAAAAAATCACTGCAGGGCTTTTTTCCAGAGGAGAGCGAGAAAAGAGAGGCCAACAAGTGATTAATCTTTTGTTTCTTGGTGGTTCAAGTATCCTTTTACATATGAGTCATATGTCTAAATATTCAAGGTCACCAGTGACCACCTCTTGGCCAGATTTACAGACTTCACCCTCCTTGGCCTTGCCTTCTCGTATCTTCCCAGGCTTTCCCAAATTTCTGCTTTACTTTTGCTCTTTGGGGACAAGTGGAAATATCCAAACAAAGGAATTTTTTTCCTTTACGGTTTCCATAGCCCTTACAATGACCTGCCAGTGTCTTTGCTGGTCTTATTTGCTGCATAGCATATATAAAATATTTTATGTGGAAAAAAATGCACCCAGTATTCTTGGGCACATTCCCTATATTTAAATGATTTACAGAAATCTTATTTTGAACCAAAGCAACTGAGATGGAAGCACTTATAGAACAATATTTATTGAAGCATTAGACAGCCAAATGGTACTTCATAAAATAGAAATAAACAAATATTAAGGGAGGGGTTAAGGGAGAGCAGCCTCTTATGAAATTTAATTAGGCAGGAGTCATCAAGGGAGTTCCCACACATAGTATGCAGCACCTCTTGTGTCTGTATGTTGAATATCTAGTACACTAGATATGACTAGAAGATGAAAACATCATAAGTCAAAACTGGGGGCTATGTTTTCAAATCTTCACTGTCTAAATTTTTAGGTGGGTGTCACTATGTGCACATTCACACCCTTGACTTATCTGCAAATATATGCTCTAAGCCCTGCCTGTGCAGGATGGGGACAAGATTTAGGATCCTGTTCCTGCAGATCTGCAGAAGGTTAGATGAGGGAGCTACTTGTGAGTAAAATTACGAATGCACATAACCTCTGTCAGGGATAGGGTCAGGAAGGAAATTTATTCAAACCTTACTCTAATTCTTCATAAAATAAGTTAAAAATATATGAAATTAGAGATGTAAGAAGTATACATCTGACTACGTGTACTGAGTGATAAAGCAGTGCGAACAGGAACTTAACAGCCATATATAGGGATATAAGAAGTCCATAGATTTCTACAGAAGGCAAAGCCAATACATAATAGACATAGCAGCTCTCTGCTGTCTAAACATATTAATACTCGATCCACAATGTCCGGACAGTGGCACTTGCTGCTTTTATAGGCATTACCCCATTCATTTCCATGGATTTACTTCTAGTTTAAGTCCCGATTAAGCAACACACTTATGCAGTATTGCAGAAGAGGAGGTGAGGCTGATGATGGTTCAGTAAGGACTGACAATTCTTGAATTAACAAGACAATAGGATGTAGTAAAGAAAGGGGAAAACCACACAGCTAGTCTTGTAATGGCATGTGATAACAGAAGCGTTGCGTAACACCCAGGAGATAATTTTTCTGCTTTGCTCAATGTGGGTGAGGTCTTGACCGGAGTATGATGTCTGCTTTGGGGCCATGCACTTGAATAAAAATGGAGACTAATTGGAGAGAAGCCAGAGGAGACCAACAAGGGTGGTAAGAGATTTGGAAAACATGACCTACGAGGAAAGGTTCAAGGAAACTGGGTTTTATTAGTCTAGGCAAAAACAATCCTGAGATGGGACACGCTGGAAGACTTCCAGTATTTAAAACATCATTGTAAAGGACTATGATGAATTATGCCCATGGGGCTTGGGGAAAAATTGGTTTAATTTGTGGCAAAGGTGATTTAGCTTAGACTTTCAGAAACACTTTCTACTGTTAGGAAAACACAGGACTGGAGGAGAACACCTAGAGAGAGCTGATAATCTTGTGACTGGAGATTTTTAAGGACCGATCAGATATATATCTGCCAGAAGGTTCCTACACATAGTTATTTTGCTCCTGTGCCTGGGTTGGGGAAAGTGTTCTCCTGAGATCCCTTCCAACCCTGTATTTCTGTGATTTATGGTCTCCATGCGGCTAAGAGCTCTGTTGAACCAGGGCCTAAGGTTACAGTCAACTGCTAGACATCAAAAGCTTCATTTAGAAAGATGAGCATCCACAGACTGAACAAGTGCCAAACAGTTTTCTGTCCTCCAAGGAAAAGGTAACTCTCTAGCTGTCACTCAAGTCTCCAAGCTACAACTGACAGAGTTTTCTGCCTTGTTAACTGCTTATTCAGCTGAATGGGATCAGCAGCAGCGTGTCAAGAAAGCAGACACTTTCTGAAAAGGTTTTGCCAAGAAGGTTTGAATGAGCCCAGGACACCCCTGAAGCTGACTTCCCTTCACAAAGTCCTTCTACTGTATTTGTCATTGTTCTTACAGACAGCTTGGTGTTAGAATACCCTTCAGGAACAACGTTCAGGCAGAAAAATGTTGAGGGGTCTGATGTGTAGGCAAAAGGTAAAATCTGAGACATAAGCCAAAATGTATGTGGAGTAGGCATTGTCCCAGCAAAAACCCTGGAACGCTAAGCATCTCTTGTCTTTGTTTCATACTCAGTGAAGTCAGCATAAAAAAGGCCCCACATTTGCTTTTAGGGAGGGAGGAAAGATGAATGGAAGCATATAACCAGGACAGGACTGCTGTGTTAGTGTTCATGCTTCCTCCCTAGGAGTGTCAGCAAGGACATGTGAAGAGGGAAGAGGAAGGGCTCCTGACTCCAGATATGACTGAGTATTCTCTACTGTTTTTTATACAAATTTTGTTACTGGTGGTCTGCCTTGGGCTTTTAAGAGGACCGAATCTTTATGCAGTACATAATTCTGTTTGGCCTATCTCTCTGAATTCAGCACTGACTGCTGACCTTGGCCTGCAGAGGTATACACACAGTTGTCCCAGCCAATCTACCCGTGAAAGTCCCATCAGTTGCGTGCTCAGCTGGCGACAACTGTAAAATTCTGAGTGATCACAGGAAAGTGATAATACCGAAGTAAAGATTAAAAAGGAAGAAGACAAATGTTAGATATGTGCAAGAGATGTACTGCCATAATGATGATATAGATATCACCATCTTGTAAGAGATACAACAGATAGATGTGATCAAAGGCTGTTTTAGTTGCTCTTTTTCTTCCTTCAGATTTTTTTTCTGTTAACTTTGCTTTTGACCTATGCTGGGATCTGAATCCCATTTGGCCACTGGAGGGCAATCCAAACTCTTCACCACAAATACTTCCAGCTTTCCCTCTTTTTCTCTATTTGTCCTCTCCTTTCACACACACCTCCAATAGGCTGGTGTCAGTGTTTAGGTTTTGCAACTATGAAAAGTCTCCTTTACAAAAAAATGTCAGCCATGCCAAAATAAGTTCCTCCACTGCTACAGCTTACCCAGAACACTTTGCTGAGGGGGTCACCTAATGTGTAGGTCAACGCTTACACTTAGCTGATGGACTCCATGATACACAGGATATTTGCATGACTACAAATGACTGGCACTTGACCAATGCCAAGCACTGTAATGGCATGTTGAACAGAGATGGGTTTTGTAGTGTCATACCATACAAGTGCTGCATTGTACTGTACTAACTAAAATTTATCTAGAGAAACAGAGATGTGTGGAGACATCAAAGCAGGGCACTCTACATCCAGTACAAAACAGGAGGATCTGCGTACTATCTGCATACATCCTGTAAAAAATTCAGAGTGTTTCTTCTCCTGTCTAAATGTTTATGGTTTGCTAGTAAAAATAAAGGAATAGAAATTATTTCACCTTGTGTGTTACATACTTGAGACAGCACATCTGTTGTACATCAGATTATGTGATTTCTGGGTCCAGATGGAGTCTCAGCACTTTGCAATGGGTGTACAATAGCAGCATGAGATTTAAAAAATTTTTTTAAAAATCATCTCCACCTCCAAGGTGTAAGGAATGTCTGAATGTACCTGGAGGCTTTTCAGTACTCATTCACTAAAACTCCTAACTGAGCAAGTTTCCTCTCTCTCCTGCAATTCCTATGGCAGTGGGCACAGTAAAGGTCTTCCAGCTGGGGCTGTCTCTCTAAGCACTCTTTCAGAGTGGAGATGTCAAACAGCAGCCTCTTCATGAAACGGAGTATCAGCACACCAAATACATCCTCATCTTAACCTTACTACCGTCAGTCTCTAAGGTACCCCAGCCACTTCTCAAAACCAGCATCAGAAGGCAGCATGTTACCCACCTCACTGGGGTCAGCGGCTCCCAGGGCTCTCAAGTCCGTGAGGTGCCGCACTCTGTTCAGAAGCTGTGAGAGATGGAGATGAGTAACAGAGCAGGGACTAGCTCAGGCACACCTCTGGGTGCAGTTTTTCAAAAGGCCAGAGGTGCCTGCTTTTGGCCCTGATGTCCAAACTGCACTGTGCAACAGACTGTGGTGCAGAGCTGGCTGCTAAACTGGAAGAAAGCTCTTCAGTGCAATGTTGAGCCCAAGCAAACACAGCTTGGGAGAAGTGGCTTGGCTGCAGAGCAGCTTTCGCCTGACAGGGCTGTTCTGCGGACCGGAGCTGGTGCTACATGCTACTGCTCTGCCTACGTGTCTGTGTCAGCTCTGTGCTGTACCCATTGCTCTGAGTAGATCTGCCCTCAGTCCAGCCTGGGGGAGCCTGAGGGAGAGGGGGAACTTCCAGACGGGTCCTGCCCTCTGCCGCTGCAAACCAGGCTGAGTGGGGATGAGAAGTGGTGTTGCACACCAGGAAGAGGCACTTGTGCACTCGGGGCTATCCTGAGCAGAGCGCACAGGCCACTGATGGGCATTATGGGAGAGCCGTCCTGCTGCTGCCCTTGGCCTGCTCTCTTCCCTCCCAGTCCAACTCACTTACCTCCTGCAAATGTGCAGTTAATACAGAGGAAATTAAAATTGGAATCTTTCTCTTTTTAGGAGAATAGGGTGTTTTTCATTTCTACCCGATAGCTTCACTTTTGTGAGCTTTGGCAGCGCCCTGCCTAGCTCACTAGCTTGGGCAGCTCTCATATGATGGCACATAACATTTGCACGCAGCCCAGAAAGGCCTGATCCCTTGCCCAGCCCTCTGGTGTCCTGCAGGCAGTGAGACGCCTTGGGGCAGGTGTTGCTCTGTGCCTGTGCCCATGCCCTGGGCCTGGGGAGAGGTATGTGTGCCCTGCTCACAGGTGCTGCTGTCCTCCTGCCTCAACGCCTATGAAACCTGCACCCCTTGGCCTGGCAGCGAGAAAGCAGCAGGGCTTTCTGGTGAGAGGATCCGGGTGGGCGAACTAGAGAGATCTCCTCTACCAACATAAGCTGGGTTTTTTTTGGCTGAATAATTAAATCAGGTTAAAGGGAAGTGGGGATTGGGGAACCTCATCTAAATACAGTTAAATGAAACCCAGCAGTGAGCTCACGATTCTCCAGGAGTATGAGGGGCTGAGGTGTAATAGAAAGTGAGAAATAATTCAATGCAAGTGACCCATCAGGCTGGGGTCATAGCTGGCATATATGACCCCATGGTATTTTCCCTCTGACCTTCACCCTCTAATTGTTTGCCTATTTCGCTTTATGGGCTTGTCTCCGATAAGGCTATCCTAGCTTGCGTTGACTGGCCCTGTATTATATGATCCTAATTCTGTTTGGGGCACAGTTTCTAAATTCAGTATACACTACTTTGGGATAGATGAGGGACCCAAGCTCACATGACATGAACCGTGTCGTGTGGCACCAGCTGAAGGATTTCATGATGCTCGGAATAGACTAAAAGTAGAGAAAGGGGAATTCACCAGGAATCAGAGCTCTGTAAGAGCTGATCTGCGTGATCATTGTCTGATTGCTTCAGAGGAAAGGTATCAAGTGTCTGAGGCACTGGCGGGCGCTTGCAGGAGGGCACGAGATGAGAATAGTTCATGCTTCATAGCCAAAGGACATGGAGAGAAGAAGCGCCTGGGCACCAAGGCCCCTTTCAGAGCAGCTGAAGGACCAGATCAGATGTCCTGGTGCATCCTCCAAAGGTGGTGGGAAGAATGTGCAGAGCAGCACCAATGGAGAAGTGGAGCTGGGAGCATAGGCAATACATGAGGTGGGCAGCCATGGTGCAGGCTCGTGGTGTTGAGCCTTGTTTCGGCACCAGGTGTTCTCATGCTCTTGGCCACCAGGCAAGCCAGCGCGTGGCAGGGATTTTCCAAGGAGCTGGAGAGATGCGGACAGAGCACAAATACTTGCCATCCTGAAAGTTCTCTGCTAAGCCAGAGTTAAGCTCTTGTTTATATAAAGTGAAAAAGAAATAGAAAGAAAAAGAAAGGAAAAGTAATAAAATTTTTCCAAAAATTACAGTTCTTCTTCCAGGTCTCCCAGAAGATGTCCACACAATTACTTTTATGGTTTAAGATGAGAAGATATAGATGGATTTGCTTTACAGGTGTCAGCCTTAACACTTGTGCTTCCTCAGTAGGCAAGGGGAGAAAGATTAGGTGGTTTAGTTTTAAAAAGCAGCTTGTTCACATTTTGGGGATGGACACAAGTCCCTGAACCTGTTGTAAGATAGTCTATAACTTCTCCCTGTCTCTCCTACAATGTTCCCAAAATAACTCTCTACCTTGTGCTGGATGTGGGAATATAGATGAGGTTCTTGGGTCCAGTCCCTTGCAATTACTGATAGCTGTCCTAGCGCAGAAGGGTTCATGCAACATTTTCTTCCTACACCCCCATATATTGAAAACATTTATTGATAGCTTATATCAAGCATTTAGGTTTTAGCTTATAAGATCAAAAGCCTGCAATATACTTCAGGAAGAGAGAAGGAGGTAAATCAAGGAGGTCACCAATATTTTGGGTCCCTGAAAAGCAGAAAAATTTTTAGCAGAAATGATGATCTTAGGAAAGATACCTTGTTCCAGAGGAAGACAACTGCTGTCTCCTAACCTCTCTCTCTACTCCCCGACCCCATGTGACCAAGCCACTCACCACGGTTTGGAGTTTGGGAATCTGGAGTACAAACATATCCAAATATCTCATCTCTGATGCATCACTGAAAGTCAAAAAAGGAGAAAAAAATCAGAAAGAATCTATCCTGATCCCTTCAGGCAGCCATCAAAAGCCTGAAACATAGGATTAATTTAGTATCAGCCGGGTTCAACATATTTTAAAACCTTTTCTGTTTGAAGCCTTTAGTGAGCACTAAGGAACTAAAATCCCATATCAGAGCCCAGAAACACTGCGCAGTCAGAGCCAGTGAGCCTTGTGTTTCAGATGTTTTGCTTTCAAATAATAGTCTGTCTGGCCTGTATCAGCATCAGCATCCTCTTACCTTCACAATGTGAAGGAAAACAGGCTCTTCGCTTCACTGGAATGTTTCAAAGACAGCAGGCTTTTTCTGCTCAGAGGAAGCAGTCATATGTGCAGTTTAGACATGGGGGGAAAGGTGAGGAACAAATTTGCAGAAGCCCTTCCATTCAGATTATAATGAGGTGTTACTGGGAATAGTTGTCCCTGTTTGCTCTATGAGGCATCTCCCATTCAATCCTTACATACTGGCATTTGCAGATGGATTAACTGGGGCCAAATTTTGGAGAGTCTGGAGGATCGCCCTAACTCTCATGCGGATCAAATCTGTCATGTCTTCTCGGTTCCCTCAGGTCCTTCTCCCCAGGGCTCACTTCTGTATGCATTGTGCAGGCAGTTCACTGGCAGCGAGGCTGCAGCAGAGTCCTATCACGTCACTGGGGCAGTCTTTGGTGCACTGACGGATTTATTTCTTCTCTTGCCAGGCTGCTGGCCACCTTCCCCACTTCTTGGCAGCTTGTCTCGTAGTTCCTGGAGAGCCAAGGCCCTGAAAGTTGCAGGACCCGAAACTCCCAACATCCAACCTTTCACAGATCCTCTAGAGACGGGATGCTGGAGCTCCCTGGCTCCTAGCTCAGTCACTCTGCGTGATGGTGAACTGGCAGACTGTAAGTGACTGGCCCAACTTTAAGATGCCCAGGTTGCTTGGCTAGTCTGGGTTTCCCTAGCTCTAATGCAAGTACGATGAATCTGAAAGTCCTGAAATGTAGATTTAGGGTTCCCATGCCACGTGACATGCCACATCAACACCATGGATATCCAAGCTCTGACATTTTGGGGGGCCTCCCTTTGCAGACGACCCTGGAGCTGGAGGCATAAGCTTCCAGGCTCTGCCCACGGCCTCAGGCAACCAAAATGTTCAGGTGAAGCAAGAGGCAGCAGGTAGCAGCTCTCCCTGAGCCTGGCAGCAATGGGGAGGTAGGAGAGTGGAGGGAGCAGCCGGTCTTGTGGGACAGCTCCCTTCCAGGGGCTAGCACAATCTAGCAGCCACCACCGAGCACAGCCCTGAGTGCCCGTGGCGGTCCCAGATCCCAGGTCCCAGTGCAGCAGGACACTTCCCCATCAGTGGCAGGTAGCTTGCAAGCCAAGGGACTGAAAGCAGCTTTCAGGAGTCCTGCAGGCCTCCCAGGTGGGAGCCTTATGCCACACGAGTCACAGCATGCACCTTACCAGGTGTCCATCTTTGTGTACAGCCTGTCCGAACCACTGCTAAACTTAAACTGGACCTTCTAACCTCCTTTTCCAATGTTTAAATTGATCCTGTGTCTAGGATCTTCTTTAAACTTTTCTTTTTCAAGTCATGACAGTAACCATTTTTTTGCTATAGCTGACATGGCATATAAAATCACCAGGGAAAAGGGAGATTCACAGAAATATAGAGGAAAGACTTGTTTTAAAATCAGATTTAGGAAAGGGCTACAAGTTTTCCATTAGCCAGACTTTAAAGGGATTTGGATGTATAACAAAAGCCAAGCCAAATACTGAGAGAGATGTAAGCAATGAAAAAAAAGGAAAGTTGTTTAGCAACATACACAACACTGGAACAGCCGTGCTGCAAGTTATGCACGCAAGCCAAATGTATTTTGGGCTGCTGATGCCAGAGCACTCAGCTCAGACTAACTCAGACACAGTGTTCTTACATTTCCCTCTCAACAACAGCTTGGGAGGCAATCACTACACAGGAATATAGAATACTTATTTATTTCAAACAACCACTTATGCAGAAAATGTTCTACATCTTGGACTCCGTAATGCTAACCATATGCTGTTTAATAACTCGATATGCAAGGTGCATTCCAGTTTCCACATGCCTTCTTAGAACAGTGTGTACTACCCTCCTGTAGCTCTGCACCAAATGCAGCAGACTGCATGCAACTCTATGCAGTAACTTCGTCTTGAGCATCACCTCTCGTAAGTCAACAAGGACATGACTACTTCTGCCGTACCATGACAGAACCTCTCTCTCTCAGAAAGGATGCCTTTGCTTTCTGGTAAAATAAAGCTATTACCAAACTGTGCTTCTGCAGCATATGTACTGGCTTTCCATTTGACCCAAATCTTTCTCAGTGCACCAGGCCCCCGCCTCTGAAAGAGGCACCAAAAAGCTGGGCATGCCCCTTTGATTCACAAACTGTGCTTGCTCTCACCTGAGCCTTTGGGAATACTTTAGTTCAGAGATTGCTTGTACTGCTGTAAAACTGGAGTCTGGGATTCTTTTGCAGACTGAAATCATACAGGAAAGAAGAAATCTGAGGGCAAGAAATGAGTAGCAGGGTTTGGCTGCTCTGCCATCATGCAGAGGTGACTGACATAAGTCGTGTGTTTGCTTTAAAAGCAACCCACATTTCCTCTTGGATTGCTTTCTTGGCAATGCTAGAAGAATTTTAATGTTTTTGAAGGCTCTACAAGCAGGAGAATGCTGACAAAGAATGCTTTGATTTTTCTGTCTTTTCCCCCATGTTTGGGAAGAAAAGAGCTTTGGTATTTTCTTTTCAGTTTCCCACAGTGGAGCTTTAGGAAGACTATGTCACTCGGGGTTTGGAGGACAGTGTCATAGTACGTGACACGCCAGAGGGGGTAATGAATAGCAGGAGCACCACATTTCCTTCCTGTAATAAAGTTAGTCTTCTTTTTCATCAGGGACTTATCTGCACTTGACACCAGAAGCATGTCCTTCACATTGCTGTTTCTGTTTCACAGAGTTTCTAGCACAGCCACCAGAGCTGTTTTCCTAAGCACTTTAGTGAGAAAGCAAGTCATTTAGGTGAAAAGAAGATAGTTCTATATTCGAACACCTTTATGTCTGAGCTGACAGCAAGCATAGTATTCGAACACCTTTATGTCTGAGCTGGCAGCAAGCATTTCTAACTGGTTTTTGATTTACATTCACCTTTTTCTGTATCATACTTAGGCTTTGGAATAGTGAGGTCATAAGTTGAACCATGATGTGTATGTATGTGTATGTTTTTGTGTCTGGTTGAACCATGATGTGTATGTATGTGTATGAAAGAGAAAGAGAAAGAGAAAGAGAAAGAGAAAGAGAGGGAGGAAGGTATCAGAAACTCAGCTAAAGAGAGGATTTTTAAAGCTTTTTCCAGTCCCAAGGTTAGGACAGATTATTAGAAAACTATTTTTCTTTTCTGTAGCAATTTTCATTTGGTCTTTTGACAACTAATATCTCCACTTGCCAGCACACAATGAAATCAGCTGGTGTTTGTGCTGGCAAAAATGAAAGAGTTTTCTATTATTCCATCCATTACATTATATTAGATTAAGAAGCTCATGCTGTTGGCTACCAATGACATGAGCTCAGAGTACATTGAGCAGTGATTCATGCTACTGAATGCTGAATCTGCTAGGGAAATTTGTCACTAAAGAGGCAAATGTCAAACTCCTTTTATTTAAGTTTCTGGGCCAGGTGTGAGCTATTCTTCGCCTTCAGCCTTGAGGTACCATTACAGTAGAAGCATGTCAGAATAACTGAAAAGTCCTAACTGTTAGATTAAAATTCATTCTGCTGAAATAGAAGAAGAGAGGCAAGAGTCCTGGACCAGGGTCTCACCAGATCAGCACACACCTTGGCATGCATAGATTTGCTTAGCATTTTGACTCCTGCTATGTCCCTTTGGGAACTGTCTAGTTGGCTTTCCTTTAAAAGAAGCAGGAAAAAATATTGCATTTCAAGAGTCATGAGGAGGTGTGAGGAGCCGGCTTGTCCTGGTGGACTGAGTCCAAGAAGTTCTGTTTGGACTTACGTGGGCCCAAATATACTTCCCTGTATTTCAGGGTTAGCCTTTATCGTAAATGCTGTGTCATTTTAATTGTTTTAGGTACAGACTGTTAAGTGCACTATTAGGTATACTCTATTCAGCCTCTACTTGTCATTTTTTGAATCAGAACCAACATCTTCTATAGACGTCCTCCATATGACACTCTGCTTTCCTGCCCATCCTAATACCGTTTCCTGTAATGGGACCAGAGCTCCAGAGAACGAGTGTCCAGGAGCCAGTTTTGGCTTGTGCCTTGTTTTCCATTATTCTTACACTTATTGTCTCTAGGATATTCCACTGAGCCTGTCTACTGTGCCAAATGGAAACTAGACCAAATTTAAGGCACATGGGGAAAAATGTATTGTCTTTGTTCTCATGCTGACATTTGCCTTTGCCCAGTGGTAGTATCAGTTAATTTGTGGGGAGCAGTAAGTCAAGTTACATAACTCTTTCCTTCTTTCCATTTCCTTTTTTCTTTCCTTTTTTCTTTCCTTTTTTTCTTTCTTCTTTCACTTTCCTTTTTTCCCTTTCCTTTTTTCACCTTCTTTTTCCTTTCTTCCTATATCCTTTTTTTCTACTTCCTTTTTTCCTCTTTTCCTTCCCTTCCCTTCCTTGTCCCTCTTCCCTTTTTCCCTTCCCTTGCTTCTCTTCCTTTTTTCTTTTTTCTATTTTTGTCTTTCCTTTTTTCTCTTACTTTATTCTTACTTTTCTCTTTACATTTTTATTTTTCTCTTTCCTTCTTTTCTCCTTCTTTCTCCTTCTTTCTTCTCTCTTGTCTTCTTCTCTTCTTCCTTTTGTTTTCTGACTTTTTTCTTTTTTCGCTTACCTTTCTTCTCCTTCCTTTTTTTCTTTCAGTGTTTTCTGCCCTTTGGCCTCTTCCCTGGTCTTTGCTTTTTCCTCTCATATTTTCTTACTA